CCGCCGCCGCCGCCGCCGCCGCCGCCGCCACCGCCGTTGGCTGCCGCCACCGACACCGTCGATCGAAAAGAGGCCCGTGTTGTACGCGCCCGCGCACACGCTTTACCTCGCATGCGTATTGAACGCGGAGAGACCGGTGTCTCTCTTTCTGCCTCCACTCCGCAGCGTATCCGCACGCGTTGCTTTCTCCCCCGTCGCTGCCGCCGGTTGCTCGCTCGTCACGGGGGAGTTCGTTACTGTTCCCTCTTCTTCCTCTCGCTTTCTTCTAACGCGATTAAGGCAGTCAATTTTACTCCCGCGATTCTTTCTATGCCTACGCGATACGATCGATCAGCTTGTGTGCGTAGGTTTGCCCTAACGGTCCCCTTTTCATTTCATTTTCACTTGTATTTGTAAAGCGATCGCGACAGAGTTCTTTAGCTCCTTCACTGGTATCGTTCTAACAATTTACCTTGTTAAAATACTTTATTCGTTATGTCTCGTTGTCACATTATGAAGATTCTCATTGCCTGTTTTTTTTATTATTGCAAATCGTGTACTTGACAGTGTTTGTTTAAGGTGATAATCGAGGGGGGAAACCGCTGAGGGCATTGTGGTGTACAGATTGCGGCATTACTGGGCATTACTATATGGGCTACATTTTTTGGGCCTTTGCCGGGGCATTGTAAAGATAAAATAAAATTAAGTAATGCCCACTGGACACTAGTGGGCATTGGTGCCATGTACACGCACCGGCATAAATGCTGTCCCTATCCTTGTGAGGTGCACGCACACAACTAGAGTCCCTGTAGTTGTGTGCGTGCACCTCACAAGGATAGGGACAGCATTTATGCCGGTGCGTGTACAAGATTTTGGTCAGCGGTTTCCCCCTCGGTGAAAATTAAGTATATTATTCTTTTCTTTTTACAATCTCTTTGTCTTTTCATTCACGTAATCTCTTCCCGCGAGTCTCAATCGGAGGGCAGACGGGTCTCGGCAGCGGAATATCGAATAATGCGATAGGATAGATGAATTCAAGCGAAAGGGTGAAGCTCAGATTGATTTTGAATGTGCGTGAAAGTTGGGATAAGCGCGCACTCGATAAGAGTGCACGCTCAACAGTAATTTATTCTGAAGAAAAATGGAGTCTCTCCTCGCATCCGGACCTTGCAATCCGCCCACCGGCCCCTTATGCAGCGCGTAACGGAGTTATTTATTTGCCTGGTTTGATGAAACTAGAATCGCGCGAGAGAGAAAAATATCTCGATTGGATTCGGAGGCGAGATGACAGATCATTGAATCCGCGTTGCTTTCAATTAGACACGCGACACATGTAATCCCCAGGTGCGCGTACAATAATCTTTCATTTGCAAAGTGCAACAAGTGAGTTCAGCTTCGTGCAGCTTACGTGTTACCATATGGGCTTGCATAACATTCCGCTTTTATCTATTTTTTTTCCATCGCGTTACACATAGTAATCTTTGCCTGCATTTTTCGCGTTTGTTTTTATCCTTTCATGTTTCGTTCCGTATCTAATATACGCGACCGATACGAACGTCAAGTCTAATAGAGATAGTTTTGTAAAGGGACGAATGGTCGGGGAGAGTCTTCGAATGGAGATAAAAGGGACCGGCACCCTCGTTAATTTTGTCCAGCTTTCTCTTTCTCATCGCGGGAATTGATCTTCCCTGAATCCGCACGTTAATTCTCTTTGTTACCGCATTCATATTGCCTTTGCGCAAGAAAAGTGACACAAATCGGAGATATGAGTTTTTGTAATTCGTAATTATTTTTATACTTTATCAACCCGAAAACCTGTACTTTTATCGAGAAAAACGTTGAGTGTTTTGTATTATTGCATTCGTTATTTAGGTGCATCAAGTCATTAACATAATATGCATCTGAAAAAGTAGAAATTTTAACCTGGTTCTCTTGTAAAATTACTGTTTTTTTATTCGTGCCACCCTTCTCATGCAGAGACGATATGCCGTTAATTTTTTTCAACGTGCGATTCCAACCAAATACGATATGCATTTTCAAACGTGGACTCAATATATCATTAAGTATTCCCTCTTGTCTACAATATTTTTAGAAGAGTTAAAATATGAATTTACATTTTTGCACATGTACGTGGAACATTTTCCGATTTACCACGCTGTATACGTGTTTTGAAAAACGTACTCGTGCAAGTTCGTAAAATATTTAAAGATTCGAAGAAGCGTGAGAATGTGTGTGTATGTGTGTGTTCCTAGAGATTTATGTTGACTTTAAATATGGATATATAGATGTAGAAGATATATATGGTGAGAGAAGAATAATTTCTTTCGGCTAGTAAGAAGAAATGTAGTAAAAGGGGAGGAAAGAAAAATAGTTAAAAGTCGCATTTGAGGAGGAGTCTTGGATATAACTATTTTTCTCTTTCTCCCCCGGCACACAATTTTTTCCACTCTTAATGCGTTCTCCTCTTTATTCGTTAATCCTTGCTCTCTCTCTCTCTCTCTTCCTCTCTTTTAAGATAATTCTCCTGTAACGTCGCCCGGAATTCCTGCGTACGGCAAGAAATTCGCGAAAAAAAAAGAGAGATACCGTAGCTGTACAAAGAGGACTGGAATTTGTTACCGCCGAAGAATGTGAATATTTTCATTGAGTTTGTCTCAGTCGGAATATCGGATCGATCTTATGAAAATATTCTTCGATATTACGTTGCACAACAAACAATAATAAAACAAATTATTATATGAGTAAATAAGACGAGTAAAATACGGACGTGGTAACAGGATGCAAATAAATTATGTACTGTTAAAATTGAAACAACAATAATACCGTGAAAAGTTTCGCATAAATGCATCGTACGTTCTCAATTTAGAAAATCATATTTTCAGGTAAATATTGAATGAATGAACGAAACAGGATCCAGATTACGTAGATTGTATGTCGGAGGTATAATTATTACGCGCGTATAACGTACACGGATCAATGTACAACGCTATGCAGAGAAAAACTTAGCTACCGCTGTGACTTCCTTTCTCTACATTGCTAAAAGTGCCCCGCCAAGAAATGATGCACCATCGAATTCTTGGCAGCGCCTTATATCTGCCGGAAGCGGGCGATGAGGACCGTCGAGGTTGAAGAACGAAATTGGACTTCCTACGTGCGAGGCGGTACGCAGAAGGAGCGCCGGCACTTTGTCACGGATGTGTTTCACATTCATTTACAGATATGTTCTCTTCGCATTCCGAATATTAGATTTCGCCCGCCTCCAACAGCTCCTGTTCTTTTCGACGTTGTTCGGTTTGTATCGAATCAACGGCGAATGGACGGCAATAATCGTACACTTATGCGCACGAAAGGCATTGATTAGAAGCTTTATACGATTTCATTTACCCGATTGCGTATCATCGCGTAAAATAATATGTTTGATTTAGTATCGTCGAGTGCAAACACGTACGTCATTCGGAAATCCGACGTCAGATTGCACAATGAGATTCTTCGAATTAATCGCAGAATGGATATTGTTAAAGCATCCCGTGTCTGTTTGCGAACAGTCGTGGACTACAACAGT